GCAGCCCGGTGAACCTGACGTGCAGAGCCTTCTTCGGGTACAGTGGAGACGTCAGCCCCCTCATCTACTGGATGAAGGCGGATAAATACATCGAGGATCTGGACGACGAGAGGGTGCAAGAGACAGACCTCAAGTAAGAACACACTGCGACAACAGATAGTAGAGGTGTAATGGTACAAAAATCACTGCTCAGTATGTACTTCAGTTTTGAGGTCACGGTTCGGTTCATTTTCAGTACAGTATGGGAACAAAAATGCAAAACCATTTGTATGTTTATTAAACCAACAATTAGTTTTAACATTATACAAATGGGAAAATAAAATAAATGCAAAGTGCTGCTTGGTAATACTAAGTTAAACAAAATATTCTCAAATAAGCAACAAATGTTTGAATTATTATACAAAATAAATTCACTGCAAACAGTAAATAAAACTTTTCAAAAAGTAAAGCGCAGCACTAACAGTTCCAGGATGAAATTTTACTCAATCTTCATATTTTTGGCTAGAAAAAACAACTTCAGTCTGTCTGCAGTAAGTGCAGATCTGTGTGGTGGGTGGGGGGGAGCAGTGATTCTGTGCCGGCGAAAGGCAAAAAGTGAGGATCACGTTTTGTGAGGATTCACGTGGTTCTGAGGGACGTAGTCAAGGCGGGGGGCAATTGTTGTCAAGGTGGCCGCTCTAACTATAAAGCGCTGCAGGAAAAACTGCCCCAATCACGACCGAGTTCCTTCGTGAATATAAAAGAGCCGAGCCTTCTGTGTAGCTGCACATGTAGTGGCGAAATGTAAACACACACAAATTGCGCAAACTCACTCATGACAGCCCTGCACCGAACTGAACGCCCCGTACCGAAACGATTCGGCACGAATACATGTACTGTTGCACCACTAACAGATACAATACATCATTCTGAGGCAGGACCACTTTGGAACTCGTTTTGTCCAGATTTTGTCCAGGTTTAGATTTTGATAAAAACAGGTTAAGGCTACAGAGCATATTACAGGTTTTCATGTTTTTGTGATCATTACCTGGTTTGTTGGATTGTGTCTGTGATCAATATTTATAGTATAATTTTTATGGTTCAGTTTCAGTCCCAGGTTAGTCCCAAACACGATTTGACTTTAATATATTTATCACATTTTTGGGACTAAAATATCTTTTTTGGTTTGGCATAAAAAAATAACAGTAGCTCAGGTGGTTGAGCCACTGATGTGAAGGTTGTCGATCTGAATCCCGCTCTGGACATAAACATCAGATCCACTGACCCACAGGTTTGTGAGGCCTGGGTGAGTCCAGTTTCCACAGATGAATGTCATTATGTCCTTGGGCAAGACATTTAACCCCCTCGCCCCCGGTGTCTGTGCACACTGGTGTGTGAATGAGTGTGTGAACGGGTGAGTGGTTCCTTGATCTAAAGAGCTTTGGTGCCTTGAAGGTGGAAAAGTGCTGGATCTTTTTACTATTTATTCTGACAGTCGAAACGGCATCGATCATTAAAAAAAAAAAAACATATTGATTGATCTGTACTTGTTTCCCATGTATTGAGTTTGGAATCAATTAAAAAGTCTTTTGTTGTATTTGTCTTAATTTTCCATTAAGACGTCAGAAGAGGAGTTTATATAAATACTGGTAAAAACTGAAACAAGATTTTATTTTGAAAAGAAAATAATAATTGGCTTTAAACTATTTGGCGTTAAAATTATGATTGTGGTAATTCTAGTCTTTAAATACTGGTTTATGTGGGTTTAGTCCTGGTCTAGTCCTTCTTGGGTTCCCATGTTTTAGTCCTCTTTAAGTTTTGGTCTAGTCTTGGTCAAGTCTTGGTTTAGTCCTGGTTCAGTCTTGGCCTTGTCAAGGTTTAGTCTTGGTTTAGCCCTGATTTAATTCAGGTTTAGTCTTGATTTAGTCCTGTTTCAGTCTTGGTCTGGTCTTGTTTTAGTCCTGGTTTACTGCAGTTTTAGTCACCCGTGGTTTGTCATGAAAGGTCCTAGTTGAGTTCTGGTTTGTGGGTTTAGTTCTCTTCTAGTCTATGTTGGGTTCCCATGATCTAGTCCTGATCTAATCTCGGTTTAGTCCTGGTTCATTCTTGATTTAGTTCTCTGTTAATCCTGGTTTATGGGTTTAGTCCTGGTACTTGTTCAGTCCTGGTTTAGTCTTTGTTTAGTCCTGATTCAGTCATAGTTTAGTCCTTGTTCAGTCCTTGTTAGTCCGGTTTTAGTCTTGATTTAGTCCTTGTTTCAGGTTAGGTCTAGTCTTGGTCCAGTCCTGCTTTAGGCCTGGTTCAGTCTTGGTCTAGTCTTGATTTAGTCCTGGTTCAGTCGTGATTCAGTCATAGTTTAGTCCTTGTTTAGTCCTGATGTAGTCTTTGTTCAGTCCTTGTTTAGTCCTGGTTCAGTCCTGGTTCAGTCCTTATTTAGTCCTGGTTTAGTCCTGGTTCAGTCCTAGTTCAGTCAGCTTTTAGTCAGCTTTTAGTCCAGGTTTAGTCTTGGTCCAGTCCTGATTTAGGCCTGGTTCAGTCCTAGTTTAGTCTTTGTTAAGTCCTGGTTTAGTCCTTGTTCAGTCCTTGTATTAGTCCTGGTTCAGTCCTGGTTTAGTCCTTGTTCAGTCCTTGTATTAGTCCAGGTTCAGTCCTGGTTTAGTCCTTGTTCAGTCCTTGTATTAGTCCAGGTTCAGTCCTGGTTTAGTCATTGTTCAGTCCTTGTTTAGTCCTGGTCTAGTCCTGGTCTAGTCTTTCTTGGGTTCCCATTATATAGTCCTGATCTAATCTTGTTTTAGTCCTGATCTAATCTTGTTTTAGTCCTGATCTAACCTTGGTTTAGTCCTGTATTCATCCTGTTTTTGGGTTTAATCCTGGTCTAGTCTTTCTTGGGTTCCCATTATCTATTCCCGTCCTGTTTTAATTTTCGATTTAGTCTTAATTTAATCTCGGTTTAGTCCTAGTTCAGTCCTGGTCTAGGCTTTCTTTGGTTCCCATGATCTAATCCTGTTTTAGTTTTGATTTAATCCTGATCTAATCTTGGTTTAGTCCTGTATTCATCCTTGTTTTTGGGTTTAATCCTGGTCTAGTCTTTCTTGGGTTCCCATTATCTATTCCCGTCCTGTTTTAATTTTCGATTTAGTCTTAATTTAACCTCGGTTTAGTCCTGGTTCAGTCCTAGTTTAGTCACACTTGTGCTTGTGTTTAGTCGCCGCGTCCCTCGTGTGCAGATTCTTATTAATAAATTACAATATTAAACACTTAAATATTCAAATTCCGAGTGTTTCCAGTGTATCATAAACAGATTGAGACCGGTTAACTGTATTTCCACGGACCCCCACACTCCGGCTGCTAACGGGGTCCTTCTCCCGTCGCTCCCTCAGGAATTACGCCCATGAAATATTGAGTCGGCGTTTAATAATGCAGAAATCTATGCATTCTTTATTACGGACGATATGTATGTATGGACCAGGTGAGCCCCGTGTTTAAAAGGTAACCGCTCCATTTTACATTCATAAAACTCATGAATATTTCACTCCAAACTTGTGCCGGAGTCAAAGGAATAAAATATGAAGTAACGCGTTCGGCCGTTTGATTGGGAAAACAGTAAATTAATAATAGTAAATAATGACTGAGTGTGTTGTAGTGGTGTCGTTTAGAGCGATGGTCTGGTTTAGAGCTGATTTTTTAGTCCGGGTTTAGTCCTGGTTTAGTCCTGGTTTCAGTCCTTGTTCAGTCCTGGTTCAGTCCTGGTTTAGTCCTGGTTTAGTCCTGGTTTAGTCCTAGTCCTGGTTCAGTCCTGGTTTAGTCCTGGTTTAGTCCTGGTTCAGTCCTGGTTTAGTCCTGGTTTAGTCCTGGTTCAGTCCTGGTTAGTCCTTTGTCTGGTTTCTAGTCCTGGTTTAAGTCCTGGTTTAGTCCTGGTTCAGTCCTGGTCAGTCCTGGTTTAGTCCTGGTTTAGTCCTGGTTTAGTCCTGGTTCAGTCCTGGTTCAGTCCTGGTTTAGTAGTCCTGGTTTAGTCCTGGTTCCTGGGTTTAGTCCTGGTTTAGTCCTGGTTTAGTCCTGGTTCAGTCCCAGTTTAGTCCTGGTTCAGTCCTGTTTAGTCCTTGTTCAGTCCTGGTTTAGTCCTGGTTTAGTCCTGGTTCAGTCCTGGTTTAGTCCTGGTTTAGTCCTGGTTTAGTCCTGGTTCAGTCCTGGTTTAGTCCTGGTTTAGTCCTTGTTCAGTCCTGGTTTAGTCCTGGTTTAGTCCTGGTTTAGTCCTGGTTCATAGTCCTGGTTTAGTCCTGGTTTAGTCCTGGTTTAGTCCTGGTAGTCCTGGTTTAGTCCTGGTTTAGTCCTGGTTCAGTCCTGGTTCAGTCCTGGTTTAGTCCTGGTTTAGTCCTGGTTTAGTCCTGGTTTAGTCCTGGTTTAGTCCTGGTTTAGTCCTGGTTTAGTCCTGGTTTAGTCCTCTCGTAGTCTGTTGTTGTGTATCTGATCTCTTCGCGTAATGAACTCAGGTTGATTCGGTTTAATGTGATTGGTCGATTTTTGCAGCTGTAAATGTCAAAGGTCAAAGTGAGCGCGTCCGTCCGTGTGAGGAAATCGATCTGGGTCCACGAGAGCCGCTGCAGTGGAAAATATCTGGACCAATTCTTATCACATTCTCAAACCAGTTTAGATTTTTTTCAGATTTCATTTTTATTATTATTATTATTTTTTTTAATAGATTTATTAAGTGTGATCTGCATGTTTTAGTTTCCTGTTATACTCTTGGTCCAGTCCTGGTCTAGTCTTGGTCCAGTCCTGGTTCAGTCTTGATTTAGTCCTGGATTAGTCTTCTTCTAGTTTTGGTCCAGTCTTGGTCTTAGTCTTGGTTCCAGTCCTGGTTCAGTCTTGGTCCAGTCCTGGTTCAGTCTTGATTTAGTCCTAGTTCAATTTTGGTCCAGTCCTAGTTTAGTCTTGATTTAGTCCTGGTTCAATTTTGGTCCAGTCCTAGTTTAGTCTTGATTTAGTCCTAGTTCAATTTTGGTCCAGTCCTAGTTTAGTCTTGATTTAGTCCTGGTTAAATTTTGGTCCAGTCCTAGTTTAGTCTTGATTTAGTCCTGGTTCAATTTTGGTCCAGTCCTAGTTTAGTCTTGATTTAGTCCTGGTTCAATTTTGGTCCAGTCCTAGTTTAGTCTT